CCAGCCAGGGACACACACCGGACAAACACACACCAGAATGTGACAGCATGGACGGATTCGCAGTGTGACAGTCAACAGAGCTGAGCAGCAGAGCTTCATTATAATGTTTCAATAGCAACTCAACACAGTTAGACTCTTGAAAATGAAAATCTGGAGCAGCGGGAGTCTTGCATAGATTCTGAATAAATTATTAGATTTGCTTTGTGATAATTTGTGTAACATTGTGTACTTAAGGATAATCGTACTCAAGTAGGACGAGTCATTTCATTACTATAACATGTAGGTTAATATCACTGTTTGTAAATGAACTAAAAATAACATGTTAAAAGGGCCCTTTGTGCTTTTGGGGTTTTTCCCTTACCTGTAGTGTGTTATATAAAGGCTAAATAAAAGTTCCCTCCCACACACCGCCCCCCTACCTGAAACGCCTCCAATGGAGTCTTTTGTTTACTTCCTTAACATAGTGACATCACTATGTTACAATTGTGCTTCTACCTGGCTAGAGCTCCAACACAGAGTGCCACAGTGACGCAATTTTCTAATCATAAATCAATCGATCATAAATCTATCGATTAGAAAATTATAAAAGTAGGGTAAACATGTGGATATTTTATCCGGCTGAACAAAACGTGATCTGTCTCTTCAATGTGTGTCAACCTTATTTCGAGCTATTTTCCAAAATCCTATGGAGAAATTGCATTGTTTTTTGTCGAAGGAACCGGAAGTGGTAAAAAGCTAACTTACTTCCAGGTTTTAGGACGCGTCACTGTGGCACTCGATTGTAAGATAGAATAGGCTATTGGGCGGAACATCTCGAAGCAGTTGACCAATCACAACACAGCCGGCCAGCTAGCCAATCAGAGCAGATTGGGCTCTGGTTTCAGACAGAGGGTGAAAAGAGGCGCTGCATGAGAAAAATAAAGAGCTTTTTGAACATTAAAGCATGTAAACATGTCACAGTAGAGGCAAAACATACACATATGAACCTGAAATAAGCATAACAGGGACACATAGAAGATACCCTGTAGAAGTTCGGACAAGTGTTTTTTCGAGAGTTTTTTTTTTTTTACCATTTGTAATATAACTTTCAAAAATGATACAGTGTCAAATTTAAACCAAAGAGAAATATTTATTTCATAATAGACCTCATTTGGAAATACTCAACCATTCAAAAAAAATGTACACGATTAAGTACTTATTTTTTTTCGAGGACGTATTGACAGGAGTTGAAATATCAATAGCCACATGCAATGGGATTTGTCCACCACATACACAGCGACTAGATCCCCCCCCCCCCTCTCTTTATTTAGGCGACATGGAGGCTTCCTGTGTCCCCCCCTCACACAGTGGTAGAACTTTGTGTTTTTTGGGGGGGGTGGGCCTTTGTAATGACACACATCATAGACAGTCAAAAGTTTAGAAACTAAACATATCAGCACCTTTTCTCCGTTAGTGTTGGAGAACCAGCCAGAGCGGACGTGCTCAGTGTTTGCACATAGCTTCCTTCGTATTAGTTTTAGCAAGAAGACAAGATGAGTTACTTTTAAGATACGTGACATTTTCAAATTAAGGCTGAGACATTTCAATTCATCAATACCATATCACAATGTGGAGGTGGGAGATATGAAGGTTAAACAGAGTTAGTCAATATTCTGTATATGAAATTTAATGTAAACAAATTTGAACTATTATAAGCTAACAGAGCCAATAAACATCTGAACGTCAGCATAACTAGAATTAGAAACTGGCCTTCAGTCAATAGGACACTGATGAAAGTTTAATATTGACAAATTGCAGTGTACATGGCTGTTAATTACTGGAAGTAAATGGAAACACTGAGCACTGCCCCTTTGGAAAAACACAAAATGTCTTCTGTAGATTCAGGTTAATTAGCACATACATTTCCCTTCAGATAAAAAATCTTCTGACAGTTTTTAATTTTCTTACAGTGCTGTCTGCACAGCACCAAATTTCACGCATGAAAAATGATTTACATTAAGAAGGGGGAGGCGGGAACAAAAAGAAAAACCCAACACCTGAACATCTGTAAAAATAAGGCAAAGTACAAAAATCATAATAAACTCCATGCAGACATTAAAACATGGCTGAATTTGGCTTCAAATAATAAACGGTCCAGTTAAAAAATAGTCTTGATTCTATGCACAAAAAACAAATCAAAGTGTGAAGTGGTTGTCCAGTGGAATGTCTTGATGTTTCCCTTTTGCATCCAGTTGGTTTCACCCATTGAACAGTGTATGTGTTGATGGCTATAAAAACCCTCTTTCTGAGTCTATCCAGTCACGGTTAGGATAAGTTAAATGCTTCACCATCGTGTGTCCCGGGGCTCGGAGGGGGGGGCAGATGGGGTAAAGAGTTAGAAGTTAATACGTAGACGAAACGAATACAAACATGTAAAAGTAAGAAATAAAATCGTCCTACAGGACAAATTAGAGACATGTCCTTTCTTCTTCTTTCACCGAACAACAGACAGTCACACAAGACGTCTCCTAGATACTTGACTCCTGTGCGGTCTTTGACACCTATCGAAGAACCAACGTCCAGATACGGTCCACTTTATTAACATGTCATATCTATTAAATAACTTATCTCTAATAATAGTAATGATTACTAATAACACCCCCTAAAATCGACTTCGTTACTTAGTCTTTGATTTTATTCCCCCACCCCCCCTTTCTGTCTACGAGACAAAAGTACACCTCTCTAAAAACGGAATCACAAGTTACCACTACGGAACACCCGACTGTGGTCACCTCCCTTATCTGAAACAACTGACCAAAATGAAGAGGTACATACGTACACGGGTACGCGCCGGGTGTGTGGGTGTGTGTGTGTGTGTATGCGTGTACGTGTGCGTGTGTGTGTGGTGTGTGTGTGTGTGTGTGTGTGTGTGTGTGTGTGTGTGTGTGTGTGTGTGTTGTGTGTGTGTGTGAGACTGGTTACATGTCATGCCACGGAAACTTCTTATCAGGTACGAATGACTTGGTGTCGTCGGGTTTGTCTCCTGAGATGACTCCCCCCCCCCCGTGACTG